CCCTACAAAGCCGGGACGGAGCACGCCGGGTTCTCACCGGACCAGGCTGGGGAGACAAAATGACGCGATGAATTTGTTGTTGTTTTCTTGACCCGAACCCTCCGTCTTATGATGCTAAGGGCGGGTCGCTGAAAGGCATGAACGCTGTCTTTGTTGTCTTCGCACGATCCTCCCTCAGTCTTGTTTTGGTAAGGGCAGGGAGCTGAAAAGGCATAATCGTTGTTTTAGTTTTCTTCGCACGGCCCTCCCTCTGTTTTTTGTTGCTTAGGGCGGGGCGCTGAAAGGCATGAACGTTGTTTTTTTGTGTTCGCACGATCCTCCCTCCGTCTTATGTTGCTTAGGGCAGGGAGCTGAAAGGAATCGATCGATGCTGTTGGTTTTCTTGTCTTGCGGCAGCCCCCCTTGTATCTCCCTGCTCTGTACCGGTGGAAATCGAAAGGAATCGATGCCATTATTTGATCATGATGGCGCCGTCCCCCGTACGTACTTTTTTGGTGAGGACAAGCTAAGTCAAAGGAACGGATATTATTGTACTTCCACTGTCTTCGCGCAATCCCCCCTCCGTCCCACTTTTGTTAGGATGGGGAGTCGAAGGGGTTCGAGTCTCTGTGTTTCAAGCCCATCGATGGTGAAGGGTGTCTGGTAGAAGGTCCCTCACAGTATTGGCTCAACGATCCCATCGTCCTCGCCGGAGACGTCAGCCCTAGCCTCACGGCGGCGTGCCAGACAAGCGACCCCTTCCTCGCTTCCAGGAGCCCTTGCATGGACCAGGTAGGCTAGGCTGCCTAAACAGTGGGGGTAAGGTAGGCTGCCTACACAGTAGAGGCTGCCTAGACAGCGGGGCTTTAAGGTGTAGGCTTTCGAAGGATGCCTGTTGGGATGAAGTAGGATGGTCCGAGCAAGGAACGCTGTCGAAATATGGTCGGGATATCGTAGGCTGTCATGTCTAATCATGATCGGGGTGGGGGAAGTCGAATCATGGTCGAGATGAGGGAGGCTGTCAAGATATGGCGGGCAAGGAATGCTGCCTAATCGTGCCTGTCGGGACAAGATCAAAGTATGGTATGGTAAGGTAAGGTAAGGTATGCAATAGGTTAGGGCTGGTTCCACAATCGGCGGTCCGTGGGGGCGAGTGAGGCCTACCACGTGTGCGAAGGTAGGCAAGTGCCGTCGTCGTCATCGTTGCTTGTGCTCTTGTCGCCATTGTTGTTGTAGTTGTTGTTGTAGTTGTTGTTGTTGTTGTTGTTGTTGTTGTTGTCGGTGGCACGAAACCCCTCAAAAACAATCTTAACAAATCTCGAGGAGAAACATGAAAGCACACCACTTGCAGCTTGTTCTGCTTCTCACTGACATGCATGTATGCATACATGATGCATACATGATGCATACATGATGCATACATGCCCAAGGGATGTACAGCAGTACCCAAATATGGATCCAATGATGTGCATGCGTGCATCGAGGATGTGTACTTCCGATGACAAGGACCTGGCCCACGGATTGGCCCGATCCGTCCCCGAACCCCCGCCCCCGTGATGGTGTTGGATGGTGTTAGATTGGAACTCCGGTGATGAGGGGAGTTGTGTTCGGCGACATCGGGGACAACAGCGAAGTCGTTAGCCCTGACCCCTGTGGGGGCAGCGTGCCAAGGGCGGGGGCGCTCGTGCTGACGTTCGTCCTCAATAACTACCGGGACCCCGACTACCAGAAGCTCGCGGAGCAGTGGGAAAAGGAGGTAGGTGAATTGTTGGTGTAGGCGTCCCCGCTTGTAAGGGCGCAAAATGTCATTGACACAATTTGTTTTTTCAGACGTGTGACAACGGATTGGACCTCTCCTACCCGGCGGTGATCGCTGATTTGAAGTGATGAAAAAATACACTGGAGGGGATGCACTTTGAGGAGACTTTTGCCCGTGTTAAAAGTTTTTTGGACGAAAAATCGATAAGTGCTGTTAAATCGGCGACGAGATAAGCAACTTTCTGTGCCAGCTGACCTTGCGAGCGAATATGTCGTAGTCGATTGCCTTTCTGAGTCGGTCAAGGGCAGGTATCCGGGGCTTACCTCTCGCGCCATAGTTCGGAGTCGGTCATCACGCCGATTGCATTTTCTGCTGCCTGTCTGTCTGTGTGATTGCGTGTCTGATTGTCTCATTATCTGTCTGTCTGTCTGTCTGTCTGTCTGTATGTATGTATGTATGTCTGCTGTTACCGCTTGTTCAGGTGTTCCTGGCGGTGGTGGAAGAGGCTCGGGGCATGCTAGCGAACGACGTACAGGCGCCCATGAAGGTGCAGCAGGCGTTGGGGTACTGGGGGAGACATGTTTTGCCGTGCATGTCGTAGTCGTTAGACCGTTAACCTTGCAGTCCTAAACAGCCGGGACGGAGCTCGCCGGTTTCTTGCGGGACCAGGCTCTCACATCACATGACCAAGCGCGAAGCGCCGTGAGGTATTTGGCAATAGGGGAGGGGAGAGGAGCGTGTTTTCCCTTTGGACTGTTGTTAGCTGTTGTTATTCTGCGCATGTTTTAGGAGGGGAGTGGTGGTTTAGTGTATCCCTTTCGCCGTGGGACAGCTGTTCTTGCGCATGTTTAAGGAGGGGGCTGATGGGAGTTTCGTTTGGCGGTGAGACAACTGTTCTTGCGCATTTTTTAGGAGGGGAGAGCTGGGTTAGTCCTGAACGGAGATGAGAGAAGACGCAGCCACTACACCGTACATGTAACGCGCCAAGGAGGCAGCTTTTTGTGCAGGGGAGCGGGATATTGGGGGCAGGAGGCCCTCGTAAAGAATCGGCTGTTATTGTAACCCTAACCTCTAACCCTTACATCCGTTGTAGCCTATCTCTAACCCTAGCTACTGTATTGCATGTGCCGCCCCGCCGCGTGTCCGGCCGGAACAGGTGTCGTACATGGCTGAACGGTCGGTGTCGGACAGCCTTTCTGTGGAGGCTGGCGAGAACGCTTGGGTGCTTGTGGTGTCCTATCTGTGCATGTTCCTCTACGTCTCCCTCATCTTGGGGAGCCCCTGCCACACAATAAGGTGCTATTGTACTTTTACTCACTGCCCGCTACGCAACCTACCGTAGCCAAGAAGAACATAAAGGAAAACCCGAGTGTCACCTCCCCCTTGTAGTGTGTGACCCCCGACTGTTGTTATAGATCAATTCAGGCTTGTATATCGAAGGTGTAGACTGGGGCCAGAGTTCATGGGACCCAGACACGCACTCGCGCGCCCGCAAACATTTTCCGCTGTGTGATGTGCCTCCCCCCCCCCGTCGTGACCTAGTGGTGCAACGTCCGGTCCGACTTGTCGATTTAGTTGGTCGTCCCCAGTGATATGATTCGTTCTATGCATATGGTGATGATGGTGCTTCGGTTTCTGAACATGGACGATACGGGTGGGGAGGGCAGCATGCGAAGGGACACGCGCCCAGAAGGTTTCGGTGCTCGTGACGGGAAACTTCGTGGGCAGCCTGGGATGGATCGCTCGCGGCTGTTTTGTCGTTCTCGGTGGCAACATCTTCCAAATACTGCATGGGCTTGCGCGTCCCGTCTCGCTTCCTTGCTTGGCAGATCGAGGTATTCGTTGGCCCTAACCGGCATCACCATCGTCGTGGCCAGCCTGGCGACAACTATCGGGCTGCTCTCGCTCGCGGGGGTCGACACTACCCTCATCGTGTGGGAGGCAAGTCCTATGATGATATATGCATCACCGCCCGCCCTTACGAACGGGATGAACAAGTACGGTGCCCACATGAGAAGGCTCAAGGATGCACAGTGTGCTTTGAGCTTTCTTTTCCTCAGGCGGGGCTGAGCAACACAAGTGCTACGACGATTGTTTTTTTCCCAAGTAATGGTATACATGTACTCCATTACAAGGGGTTTCGAGGCCTTGTACCGGGCACCAGGCATGTCACGGTTCAGAATGTGAGACAGCTTGGATATTCCATCTGCTGCGTAACCTGACTTTACGGGCCTTACGCAGGGCGATCAGCAGTATTTCTGTGGCGTTTTACTGGGTCTACTAATGCAGTACGAAGCGACGTTGCGGGATAGCTGGGAATCTCAATTGGAGTGAAACATTCTACAGTAGTATACTCTAGACGTGGTAGTGAAAACAACCGTCACGCCAAACCAAGTGTGGTGTAGGGGTGCTCCGGCGCTTGTATTAAGTCCCCAATCAGTGAATCCCTGCTCATCACGTGCTGCCTCGTGGAACACGCTTGTTTGTCTTTTGGCTTGCTGCCGTCAATAATACAGGTGGTTCCGTTCTTGACTCTGGCGATCGGGGTTGATAACATGGTCATCTTGTCCAGAGAGTTTGACAGGTATGACTCGGAGGCCAGGAAGATATGTGTCGCCGTGATGCGGCGTGGATCACACCGCGAACCCCCCCCTTGCGCCAACTGATGGAATTTTCTCGTTGACGTCGTGCAGTACATCCCACAGCAGTTCATCGCGTCGAGTGCCACCCGATCTAGCTGGTGCGATGGTCGCAGATCACGCTGAAATTGTTGGCTCTCATTCCTGACTGTAAGCAACCTTGAGTTTATTGCCACCCATGCGGAATGATGGGTAGTCGATCCACGGTAATACCATACAACGACTGCAATGTTGACCGGTACATTGCTCCCTGCCATCCCGCTGAATTTCGAATACTCAACGTGATTCCATTTAGCGACTACGAAATTGATCGCTTATCTGTTCACTTCGATTCACACTGAACTACTCCACGAAATATCATCGAACGACTGGCAAGTTGACTGCTAGTCTACTCACTCATCCCACGTTTATTTCATCAACCGACTGGTACGTTGGCTGCTATCTCTACGCTTGACCCACTCTCTTTCTCCACAGACTGGAATCGACCCCAGAGTTCGAGGCCTGTGCGTCCGACGACCAGAAGGGCCACCACTTGAAGGGCGCCGGTCACGCCAAGGGTATGGGCAAGGGAGAAGGGATGGACACGACAGGTCCTACGTTCTCGTGGGCAGGTTCGGCGTCGACTTCGACATCGACGTCCCTGTTGTCGGGGCGAGGCAGAGGGGAGGACAACAAGACGTCGGCTGAGGCCCGCCTGGAGGAACGGATGGGGGCGGCCGTCTCAAAGGTAGGGGTGTATAGGAGCGGACCCGCCTTTCGCGAGAAGTAAAGTTTGTGAGAAAGTATAACAGGGGCGGGGG